TCCCAATTCAGTGCTTTTGGGGCAAAACCTGGCCGAAATCCTATTCTTGCTATGGCTTGCTTTTTGGACAAAAAAACTTCAGAAACATAATTGGAAGAGGATTCCATATGGGATTGCAGAAAAAAATTCTAAAAAAACTCAACGTTTGACCCATTTATGGCCAAAAGCTAGAAGTTCATTTTTTTCTGAATGGACTGTAAGTAAGCACATTTTCCAGGTCATGTGGAAAGAGTGCCAGTCACGCCAACCAGTGCGCCATCACTGTACATGCATGGTGAGCATACTTGCCGCATAATCTGCACTGAGTAGGGAGGTTTTCTGGTCGGGAGATAGGAAGATGTTTCAAAACTGACACCAACAAAATCGGGAATCTCCCGGCTGATAGGGAGATTTGGCATGCACCTCTGCATTTAGGCAAATGATGTCATAGCTGTGTGCCCATGTGAAGTAAGCCGTTAAAATTAGTACATTGTTGCTCAATGAAATCCAGTCGCATCACTCAAGTACGCGCCGGGCGTTGCGCGGCCATAGGCCTGCGAGCACTGGGCTGCGGAATGATGCAAGGAGCAAACTAACTTGTTACTTGAGTGACACAGCTGGATTTCATTGAGCAGCGCTGTAAGTAGTGACGGGTTCCCATCACGCAAGCGTTGAGACCAGGGAGTCGTCAAATACCTAGTATTCCTGCCTTATCCTGGTGTTTTGACGACTCCCTGGTTGAGACGCACTCTCGTGACACTGTAGCCATGGTAACTGTAAGGACCGGCTTCTCATAAGTACACTGCGTAGATCTACATGCAATGATTATTTCAACACGCTACAGTCAGTACTAGGGAGGTTTAGTCCCACGTAATCCGTGGGTACTTTACGTGGGTGCACCACGTGATACTCAGTGACCCACGTACAGACGTTTTCTGATTCACGACATACCGTGTATGGAGGCTCACCCACGTTCCGCCAGAACGTGGGTGAAAATCAGAATGGAGCGCATTGTGCGAGCTGTGAGGGTGCTCAGCTGAATAAGTTTCCGAAGCACGAAATCAAAATATTGGATGAGCTTCTTAGGCCGGGGTAGCTTCGTCTTTGACCAGGTTTTGGCCTTTCGCTTCATGCTTTTGTTTGTTCCGTGTGACTAAACACAACATTGCAACGTGGGTGCCCTTCATCCACTTTACGTGGATCACCCACGTACGCGTTTCCGTTACGTGGGAACTAAACCTCCCTACTGTGTAACTAGAGCGTAGGTACGTAGGGCAAAGGAGGCTTACCTTCGTGGCCGGCCCTGGGCTGCCTTCCTTCATCTGTTGCAGTAGCGACGACTCACTTGCACTGCCATGCAGTATGACTGTCACGTCAGTCGGAACGATGCCAGCAGGCGCAATACTACATAATAATTATGTCATTGTAGCTGTACTCGGACTTGTAGGACATGTAGAATCTACGCTGCGATAGCACGGATACCATAACTGATTATTGACGCTTCTCGGTGAACAAATAAGAGCAGGTCTAGCCAGTAAAGTCGCCTACCTCACCTCTATACTGTACATTACATATCACGGTATATCAGCCATCTCAAACCTGTAGGCTGTAAGACTAGTAAGACTAAGAGTCTACAAAAGCAATAATGCCACATGAAGCAGTACAGACTGAGCTTAGCAGGCTTCGTCGAGTGGGGAAACTAAACTGGCTACAACTAAGTACTAGTACTAGTACTCGTAGTAGTACATCGTTTCTTTCCTTGAAGTAACTGAAACTAGTGAAAGCATCGCTCTTCTGTTATTTTCACGCTGGTGCCTAGGCTGTAGAGTGTAGTTAGCACCAGTACAGGGAGTCGTACAAGACTAGTACATCATGTATACGTGTACGACTCCCTGGTTAGCACTGTAACTAAGACTTAGTTACTTCGCGCCAGATACTGCATGGCGTCGTCAATGGAGATTGCAGCGTTTACCATGTTTACTGGTCGGTCGCACCTCGCATGTTCTCACTACCTGTACATTTTTTACAGGTAGACCTACGTTTCAACACGAATCAGGTCGCAAGTCCTCTGTTTCCGAGGCTCGAGGCTTCATTTGAACGTCGGAAATGAATCACACCCCAGTGTTCGTGCGGGTTCCGTATCCAGATGATGGAAGAGTGGGCGAGGAAAGTAGCTACTACTAGTACCGGTACTAGTAGATGTACATTGTAGTCGGAATGTTCTAGAAATGCTTGAAGTAAAATCACGAGACCATAAACACACATGCACTCTTGGTAACATCAGTTAGTTGAAGGGCAGCGTGATCTGTGATTCCGGGAAGCACACCAAAATATTGATCGCTTTTTCCACTCAGGAAATGGGAATTCCTACGGTTTCCGTGTGAAGACCATGTACATGTACCAAGTTTAGAGCAGCTTTAGAAGAAACTGATACATGTAGTGGCTGTCAATCAGTTATTCAATGATAAATTTCAACATTTCAATTACCGGGTATAATGATTACATGCCGTGTAGTTGCGCGTTTCCGATTGGCATGTCCAAACGAGGGAGTATTTTTTAGTACTCCCAGGTCCAAACTCTAGTACATCAATATACAAGGAGTGCTCCTCATGTTGTATTGCCTGTTTTAAAATTGACTCCGTTGCGTGTGAAGGGATAATATCCCGATAGTAGTGGCGTTGAACTACACGCTGTGGTCTATTCGTAGTGAAACCAACATTTGCAGCGTGTTCATTGCGATCAGTTTACAGTTGAGGTGAACTAGAGTGCTTACCTATTCCGACTGTGCACTGGTAGTGATTTGAACGAATGCTAGGCCTCTAATTAAAATACGATATGTACATGTGTCTTCTAGTTACATGTGCTAGCAAGAGTCATTGAGTTCTTTCCTCTTGGTACTAGTGGAAATCGAGGGGAAACACAGTCATGTACTGAACAGATTATAATGGCAGTCAAGGGCAAAATACCCAAGCTTTCGGTGCTGCAAGCCGGCGACGCTTTAACCAGAAAACTAGGTAATGGTGTGGTCGAAAACTCAAAAAAACTCGAAGACGACTACCGGCAAGGAACATTTCCCGCATCATCTTGTTAGTCTGAGCAGCTCCAAAGGGTGCTAAATGCACAGAAGTACCCGAGAGCGGTGTAAACGAATAGAGGCGATGGGACGGGCAGGCTGCTTTCGACGTAACTGATCCATGTTTCACGCATTGGGCGATCATCGAACAGCTAACCATCACGGCTTACGTACAGTCTACACTGTAGGTAAGCTGCCAATCATGCCCAAATCAAAGTCTTCTCTGGTACATATTATTAGTGCTATAGGACGCTTAGAACTCACAGTCGCAACACAACACTTTGCTCCATTTTGCCACGGTCTGCATTGCTACATTTCAGTATTACATGCGTTCCGGACTGGTCTGCAACTCCATGATAGCCATTGACGGATGACGGATAATGCTCGAAAGAATTGGCAGCGGCGCTCCGAAAGCTGTGAAATTGGCAGAACCATAGTCCATACCAACCTTATGGCAGGCATTTCCTTGAATTCTGATCCATTTCTTTATCGGAACATAGCGTTGAACATACAACCATGCATGAAACATACCAAAAAAAGCACACCACCTTCTGCCAATCTGTCTGCCGCCATTATCCGCCAATGGCTACTCCACGAGTCGACCACCCACCAAATCGAGGATTGAACGAAGGCGAAGATTGGAAAATTGGAAGGCGTTCCATTGATGTCTGCATGCAAATTATGTCGGTCTGTCGCAGGCCCAATTGCTCACTAGAGTTGGGTGGGTTACCGTTCGTAGGTCACGATAAGCTAGAAATCCGCCTGCAATGTTTCCACGACAGGCTTGCTCTCCAGGTCCAGGAACACTCCTTGCTTGTTGAGGATCTCCTCCCAATCCATCCCAGACCCGCTTCGACATCCCATTTTCCTGCTTCGCGTTCCTGTTCGTGCCCTACCTGTGACTACAGCCTGCAGGGCGTAATGTGGCTGTCTGCTGATACGGAAAACCGGCCTACTTGTACATTGAAGCTCACGCATGTCTATGATTGCATTGTATGTTCGATGACACAGCCCACACGTGCACGGCGCACACGCACATTCATACTGAATCATACTTCATACTCATAGGTGGCTCATTCACCTGTTGCTATCCCAGTCGAGCCCTGGTCTGGATGAAAGATTTCACTGACTGTGTACAGTCATTATCCGATGATATGCGCGCTCGTACTCGTTCATACTCATACTCATAGCAAGCCACTGCATGTGACCCTGTAAGGCAATACTGCTTGTGCACTGTCATCTTCGAGACTTCATCCGTGAAACTGCTGTATGTTGATCGTTGAAGCACAGAACGAAACGTGTCAAAATGCCAGCGCGGAAAGTGACAGGTAATTTGCCTTCTCATCCCGGCAAATAATTGGAAAGTTGACTTGAAGTTTCGTACGAAACAAGGACTGGCGCTGACAGAGGCCAAGGCACGCGGCGACAGTCTGGGCCGTGCTTCCAGCCAGTCACTCAAATCATAGTGAGATCGTGAATGTGTGTGATGTGTGAGAGCAATCCTGCGGTTGGTCATGACAACTGCGTGTCAACACGTTATAGTTACTTGTACTTGTACTAGGCAGAGCTAACGACGGGTTACGTAGTCGTTAGTGCAAGGCCTACAAGGCTACATTATCATTGGCTGTGTCCAGTCCTGGTTGCACGTCACCAGCCCTGACACAGTGTGGTTCAGCGATCTGGCGGGCTTGCTGACAGAAATGCTGGCTGTGTGCGGCTCGCGGCTTGCCGGCCTGTCCTGACCGTGTAAAGGATGCCCTTCGTTAGACGAGCTAGGCAGAATGCACGGTAGACTTTCGACACCCATTCAGCTCGCCGTGCAGGCGTAGAACACGTCTGCTGCAGTGCTGGCTGGTCATGATCAGGCCTTGCTTGGCACGGCACGGACTGACTGTCAGTGCCTCGCAGACTCACAGAGGTCAGCAAGTGCTGAGATAAGCGACGCGCAGACATTTCACTGAGCTCCAGATAGGCTCAGCGTTCCGGAGTGCAGGTTTCCTTTCGCACATCCTCTCTTCTTCCATTTCTCCTTCTACACCTGAGTGTCCGGAGTAGGTCGGTTCCGCACAGGATAAACGTTAGCCCTTTGAATTATTTCCCCAACGACACCAACCGACTACAGAAGCCTCAAGGTGAGAATCTGATGGTTGGTTGAACTCTTCGAATCACAGACTGTGTGGTGTATTTTGTGGCTCTGTCTTGAATCGGACCTCTACACGCGTAAACTTTCGACGTTGTCCTTTGGAGAATGGCACTGAAATCACCGTGCTGAATTTCGAAAAGATCTAGCTAGCCACCCTTTCCCCGTGTGCTGCGAACCCATCTAGTCAGGGTTGCACCGGTCACCATTAGTACGCGTTCTGTAGCGAAACTTGCCGCCTACTGAACTGCAAGATTTTCCGTGTTCCCGGGGTGTGAATGGCCTGCAGGTGACAGAATGCACTGGACAATTTGTGTTCGGCGATGATTCGTGCAGGGCCTAAAACGAACCCATGTTGTTTCTTCTTTGTGTTTTCTTGTTGTAGACATCGCTTGGTCTGGCGTTACTGGTGTGAACTGCCCAGTTTCGAGTTGGCACCGTTGTAGATATCGCTGGCAGCAGTGACTCGTACCGGCATTTCGTCTTCACTTGTCGCGCCATGGATCTGGTCTCACAGCGAGCGGCGCAGCAAAGCGGTCGGCGAGTTGTGGAATATCGTGGCCACTCGCCGCCCGGGTTCAACATGGGAGTCCTGCCGTTCTACGGATTTGTGGCACATATGGCAGTTGACACGGATGGTAGCGACCAGGAGAAGCAAACGGATGACGTATGCAATAGAGTTCCAAGCCAGAAGGAAGAAGTATCTGGCAAATCTGGGCAATCCAAGGAAGCTGCTGTTGAAGGCGAGGCAGGGCAAGACACCTATCAAGATGAAGGAATAAGACACAGTACAGCCCCTCACTCTCCTAGTCACCATTCTCAGGGCAAGTGCCGCTCGAAACACAAGCGACAGGGTAAGATACGCCGACCCGTGCCTGTGAAGCTAACGCGACACGCCGTTGAGAAGATTGGCCGGCGGAACATGCTGCTGCGCAAGACTTGTCAGTACGTGATGAACCACGCCAAGGATGGGAAGTTTCTCCGACATGACTTCAGCAAAGTAACCAATGATGAAGGTGATAATAAGGCTGGACGGCTACCCTCGTTCATCCATCCCGCTATCACTCCAAACATCAGAAATGTCCTGGGAATGAAGAGGAAGGAGAAGGAAAATGCCGATGGTGAAGATGAGGCGAGTACTGCAGTTCCTGCCATGAGCAACCGTGCGCGTGACAACCCCAGAGCTAAAGAAGACCATAGCGGACAGGCAAAGACGCAACCAGGAAGGAGAGTGTCCAAAATCGGTGAATTTCCCCACCCGGCAAGCACTCCAGTGCTTCGGAAAATCCTGTCCTCCGAATCGGCAACTCCGGTAGCAGAAGCCAACAGCTGTATGTCACGGAAAGAGAGGGTGGCGGCATCAACGCAGCCTGGTGGAGTGGAGACTCCTGGCCGCTGGCCAGCACCACCAATGACAACAGTGCACGTGGTTAAAGAGTCCCCTCCAGCATCACCAGCGCCGTCGGCAGCAGTGGTAATAGATTCATCATCACCAGCATCACCAGTGGTGGTGGTGGCGGCAACACATTCACTGCCGTCGTCACCAGCAGCGGCGAGAGCAGCCGCGCCGCCCATACCAGCTGCAGTAGCCAGAACACCACTAGCACCCGCAGTAGCAGGTTACAGCAGCACACCACAGGCAGCAGTGGCGCCAGCGCAGAGACCCCCGCCGGTCCAGCAGATGAGCACCATGATGGTGCCAATCGGGGCACCGCGGCAGCAATCGGCACCCATTCAAGCAGCACATCCCGGTGGCAATGCTCCCAGGGTGATCATTCCAGTGCCAAGTGCAAGTATACCAGCTCAGCAGCCAAACACTGGTGGTTTGGTACACCCAGGGGCGACCGCACCCTATCAAGCCGTGGCAACTACCTACGCCACTACGTCACACTCGTATCCACATGTACCCGTCCCAACCTCAACTCACGATAGCGAAATGGAAGCAGCCGCAGCAAGAGCGGCAGCCAGAGCGCGCACAATCACACGACCGTCGCCAGCAGAGTGGGCGAAACAGCAGCTGCTGCCCCCGACAACACCTGCGCAGGTCTCCTACACTAGCGTAGGCCAGCAAGCAGGCCCTCAGACCGCTGTAAGCATGGGCCAGGTGTACGGAGTGCAGCCTCAATTTGTACCTCTCCAACCGAGCATGTTCCCACCCATCCAGCGCATGCAACACATCATCACGCCTGGCCCAATCCAAGCCGGCACCAGATTCGTTGCACCCACAGGCGCTGCCCTAACCTATGCTCCCCTGCACATGGCCCCAATGGCAATGCCATCGCCGGTAGACAGTGATGTGGCATCAAACATAGCAGCACCGCCGTCAGTGTGCAGCCTAGCACAACGAGAGCACTCGTCCATGGCGGCTGGGTCTGTGGCCTCGACGCATCGCTCCTGGACACCGTCGGAGCGCTCCGGAGTGCCGCCATCACCGGCCTCCGTGAGGTCGCATGCAGCCAGTAGCAGTGCGGATGTATCTGATATACTGCCACCGCTGACGTCACTCCATGCACCAGGGCTCAGTGCAACAGGTAACGACACACATGGCCGTGATCAGCATGGCCGTGATCAGCGCCAACACAACCTGCCTAGTAGTAGTGCTAGCAACAACAGTGACTTGGCTTTGTCACACCCAGCATCTACACGGCCTGTCAGCAATAGCAGAGCAACGAGTAGTCATGCCGTTACCAATACACCACTGTCTGGATCAATGACTGCGGCTATATCGCAGATGTGGGATGGCGCAGCACGACCCATGCCCATTCAGCCTAAAGACGGCAAGCATGCCAGAAACACACACCAGTCGGGCAGTGACCAGCCGGAGGAAGGCAAGCGATCCAAATCTCACCGCTCTTCGTCACGCGACAGCAGCCGAGCAATGCGCAAGCGCAAGGAACAGCTGCTGCAGCGGCTCGGCTGGCACGCCATGCAGGTCCTCTTGCGGCAGTCACAGCAAGAGAAACGGGCTCGCGAGGAGCAGGACCTATCACAAAGCGAACCACCGCCACTCATCTCTACCTCGAATAGAGCTCATCACGCAGAACAGTAGACAAGACCTTGTTTTCAGCTGAAATCCAAATGCAGACCACGAACGTGTGTCCTTAACCTTCAGAAGAATTTTGGGAACTCTATCACTTTTGACCTGCTACCCGGCACACACGCGTGGAGCCTGAGTACAGCTATAATTGTGCACAGTACTGTTGGATTTTTGGCATTTTTGCAGTTAAGAACGGAACTTATTATTCACACTCAGGAGTATAACTCTGCATACGTAATTATATGTTTGGATGATACATTTTATGGTACGTGTCCGTAGTTTCAGAACATGCGAACGGGCATGCAGGTGTACATGCATGTTTGGGGTCACGGCAAAAAACCGCCTTCTGGTGCCAAATTGGTCACGTGCCCCCCCCCCCCCCCAATCTGTACCACTGCAGCAGCAGCAGCAGCACTCCGGCTAACGTAATCAATACTTGCAAGTAGTACTGCAAGAATCTCAGTCGAGACACAAAGCAAAGTTCAACGATTCAACGTTACGGGAGAAGTTGATTGTTCACTGGAGAAAGGCTAAACTAAAAACAGTCCTTCTCAGTCTCCTCTGTAAGAGAGAAGTCCAAAGTATATGTAAGGTGGGTGTCTAATGCCAGTAAGCCACGCATTCGAAAGTATTTGCAAATCATTGGTATTCCTGGCTCCACACTCCACCGAATTAATCAACTTACTAGTGCTTGCTTATCGCCTGTGTCATTAGATGGTTCGCAGTTCGTACATCCACCATTGCTCTGCAACGGCTGCAGCAAAGGTTCCAGGCGGCATGGTTGTTGTCACGGTAACTAAGCACTACAAATGGTTGTCACGGTTACTAACCTGGCGGGCAGCACTCTGCAGCTGCAATCAATGCCTGCTGGCCTTGCAGATGAATCACGTGGTCAGGGTAACCGAGGCACCATCCCTAAGCTCTGCACGAAATGTGTACCCACAGCCAACGTCATTGCAGTCCAGCGGGATTGGCAGGCTGGCCTCATCACCGCTACGCATATGACGGGCGCTAACCTTGGCGTTTGCATGATCTAGAGTGTCCACAATGATACGAATTAGGTCGCCTTCCATCCATGGTTGTCCCAGTCGCTCGCCTAAAACATTAACATCATGTGGAAAGTGGCTGGACCAACCGATGAATCCTGAATCGTGACTCCAGCTATTGTCTCTATTTGTCGGTGTCAAGCAACTTGCGATTCCTAGCAGCAGTTGTCTGGATGCATTGACAATGCGAACGGAAAATGATAATTTGCAACGTCGGAAGGTGCAGCTATCGGAGAGTCTGACTGATCGATATTTGGGTTTTAGGGTGACACGAGCTGTTGCGGTTTGACAATCATTAGTGAGGAGGACATTAGGCGATTTATCTCCCTTGCTGAACTGAATACAGTCGCGTGCTAATTTCTTGGTTGCATAATCCTGGATGGAGAACTCGGCTTGGGACGCTTCCGAGGTTGTGGCCATATCTGGAGCAGATGGCCCACTGGAATCCAGATGCGTTTGCACGTAATGGCATGCGTCTCTCGTTACCCTCTCGTGAATGGATGCGACCGTAGGGGATTTAGCAGCTGAGGCCAGTTCTGCTGCGATAGGCGTGCGTACGTACATTTGTGGCCACCGTTTACCCGATGCTTTGACAAGTACAACGTCGCTGAGATTTGCTTGCAGATGGTGAGCAACCTGCAATTGCCGCATGCTCTCCACAATCTTCTCTTTTCTCAGCTCAATGGGCTTGCTCTCTTTCCAATGCAGATTATCAACAGCATCACGAAGAGACTTCTCAGCAGTGCGTAGTTCCTCGTGTCGACGCTCAAATTCCTCACCAATACCATCGCTAATGGCCTGGACTTTGTGATGTAGTTCTTCCTGTTCTTGCTCCACTGCACACAGTTCCTGTGTTAACCTGGTATAGTGACCTTCTTCAGCAAGCAGTGTTGTGTTGGAATAGGTATGTCGAACTTCATGTGCAGCAATGGCCAGCTCTAACACCCTGTGCTCTGTGTGACTACTGCAGTGCTCACACAGAATTATCTTACACACTGGACAAAACTGTGTTGCGTGTTGTGCTGGGTGCTGAGGGCACGTCTTGGCCGAGCTGGCCATTGGATCACCGCGAAGAGCGGTCACACGGTGTTCGCGACGCCGTCGATTACGTGTGTGGGTCTGTGAGTGTGGTTCACACAGGTACTGATCACAATCAGCGCAGTGCGAAAATGCACTCACCTGAAAATCCTCACAGTCACTGTCTTGGCACACGGCTTTGTGAGATGGATCGATTGGCTTTGGCCAGTCTGCTAAGGTGTTCGGCAGTTGCTGTCCTGGACTCGCTGCCTCGCTCTTCGACTGACATCTAGCGCAGGATAGCGAGCTCTCTGTGTTCGTGTGTTCTTTGATACACTGACTGCACGCAATGTGTAAACATCGCAACACTTTCAACCCGGTACGGCTGGACTGCAGGCAAAACACACACGATTCATCCAGCTCCCTGGGAAACTGCAGAGTCTTCTCGGGACCAGGCTGAGCTGCCTCCGACGCAGCTGCCATCGTACTTTCAGCAACACTACCCATCCTCTCTGACAAATCCTGGCCAAGTCTGAGTCGAGACAACAATGACTGTGCACTGGTATAACCACTACTGCACAGTACTGCCTGGCAATACTGCAACACAGCGACTGATACTTGATAGTACAATGCTAGTGGCTTTTAAATAATTGTCTAACGAGTCGCTTTTATTTTATCGCTTTGTTCTACTCGGCCGAACCACCCACGAGGTGGAAATCGAGCCAGCACTGCAGTACTAGACCTACACTACAGACTCGGTCAGTACAGGGTCAGTGCCTGAGCCGAGGCTGAGACGAAGTACCCGTAGATCTACTGCCGTAGACTGGCGTAGTGCATCAAGGTCCAGGATCGACAACATGCGGCATGCAGCTAGCGCTAGCTCGCACTCGGTCGCACGCGCAGGGCCAGGCCAGGGCTAGCGTTTCCCCAATAAACGTAGATCTACACGTCTCCAATACTATTACTAAGTACTACTACTAGTACTAGTATAGTTGGTTGAAGCACTCGGGTCCACTCAGCAGCCACTGCCGTCCTCGTCAATCCTTGGGCAGTTATTGCCTGATGATACCGATGTAGATGGCATGGTAAACAAGACTTAGTGGTATCCAAAGGTAGATCCACGTGCTGTTCTTGACCGTCACGTACCCCTCCGTAATACGTTAACCCGCGCAAAACCAACCGTCGTCCTTGTCCTTGGCTGACCTCCGAGCTTATTTCAGCTGTACAGCACTAGCAGCGCAAAGCCGCACACAAATTGCCTATTCGCTCCCCAGAGAACACTCAGCTGCGGGATCACCACCGGACGCTTCGTGCAGTTGCACGGAAGTTGGATAGAAAGCTGAAGAACCAGCACTTTCTAAAAGGAACGTCTGCAGGCTGCTGAGACAGACTCTCGAAAGCTGTACTGTGGCGCATTGTGAATACCGTCAGTGGTCGGACGAAGTCAACACCTCCGCCTCCGGTAGCTGCGGAGGAGCTCGCTGCATGCAGCGTTTGGGAAAGTCGTATCTGATCCTGCACGCCCATCCAGCCTGTTTCCGGATGGTTCAATACGATTGTAACGATTCCGATACCTTCAACCAGTTTCGACCCGCCCTAACAGAAGAAGTCATGACGCTACTGCGGCCGGTTGGTTCATCCAAAGCCACAGGCCATGATAAATTGCCAGGTGTTGTTCTGAAGAAGTCCCCAGGAAAATTAGCTCCGTCTCTGTGCATGATATTCAACGCTTCGCTCTCGACGGGCAGATTTCCACGCCAGTTCGAACTTGCTATTAAATGTGTTTCCTTTGTTCAAGGGTGGTAGCCTTGACCCTGGTCAAGCTCCTCCTTATCGGCCTATCTCTCTCCTGCCTATTGTATCTCGTCTACTGGAGAAACTAGTGAAAGCCCAACTCATGTCATACATAATGGAAAACGATCTTTAATGCAAAGTATGACCGATACCAGCGTGTAGTTATTGTCGGTAGTCCTTTCCCAAAGGTGCTCTCTTAAGGGGGCACATCACCCAAAATTCGCTGAAAAATCGAATTTGTAAATTCATATTGAGTGCTACGTCAGTTGAAAGAGCATGAATAGCTGCAAATTCTCTGAAAACTGTGTCCCTATCTGACCAGCCGTTCAAGAGTTATGGCCGAAAATGTGCCCTTGCAAGGAAAGATTTTTTTGTTGCATGCTGTCATTTGTTGGCAGAACTGTATTTGAATGTGAGCAGACCGTGCGCAACTTGTCGTATTATGGAAACACGCGAAAGTGTGCAGAATTTTGCCCCAAGTCCAAAAAAGTCCAAAAAATCACGTTAAAAAACCACGTATTGGGCTGCACGGCGGCGGGCGAAGCCCGCCGCCGTGCAGCAGGACTTTTGCCAGCACCCTCGTGACGTTGCAGATATGTGGCTTGATTATTGTAGTTGACGTTGATTTAGTGACTTTGGCAAGTTTGAGTCGTGTCAAGAAGTCAGGTAGGATTCAGTACTACTACTAGGCAGTAGTGAAACGTGAGTGGCAGTCTTTGCCGGTTTCTGAGGGCATCCTGGATTTGGTGTGCAGCGCTGTGGAAATGGCTTGCTGTGGAGGTCCCAGCACTGGATGTTGTATCAAAGGTACGACCTCGTAGCACGTGCTAAACCTAAAAAAATTCAAAAATTGACTTGGGTCTGTGAGAGTCCGTGAGAGAACGCCCACTCGTTCCGTTGTGACAGATTCCAGGGCCACGTTGAGGGGCCCTACCCCACCACCCATGGCTGCTTCTGGACTTGTTTTAGGTTTGGGTCCCGCGCACGGACAGAATGGGCACGAAAATGTGAAAAAAATGTAAATGCATTTGTTTGGCTCCTGGGTGGCTCGCACACCGTAGCACTACTTTGAGTTTTTCCAGCCTGGAAAGCCTGTCAGTGAGGCGCAAGAACTTGTAAATCATGTCCTGAGGGCCAGCATAGTGCCAGGAGTGTGTGGTCAAAATTTCACTCAAATCCACTGAGAAACACCAAAGTTACGGTCAATTGAATGCCATATGAAATTTATGGGTGATGTGCCCCCTTAAACTTGCACATGCCTGCACTATTTCAGTATGGGTTCATCCACTGCCACATAAATAATTGATTTCTGGTCATGTTTCATCAATAGCCATTAGCGGACTATGCTCGGCCAATCGTCAAAATTTAATTATGCTTTTGATTATGCCACAATTATGCC